AAGAAAGCCATTTAATACCCATTAAAATAATACAAATATTGTCACACAAAAAATACAAATATTATGCCTTTCTGTTCTGAATTGCATTAATAAATTTTAGTTTGTAATCTCATAAAAATCCTAAATTGTACAGTATCATACTAGGCAAGAGAGCCTAATTTGTGTGTCACTTCCATGTGTGGTGAACAAACAGAATCTAAAAGTCGGAGCTTTACGTGAGTTAAAATGGTTCGCACAAAATTACTGCACTAAGCGAAGGCCTTCAAACGAAATTCGTTCGATTAAAATCATATGGAGGAATATGCCAGGAAAAAAAAAATTGAAATGGGATACAAATTTGGTTACAAATTAAGTTGTCACATTTGTGCATCAATCAAAGGAGGAACACCAACCTCCATGGCTCCTTCCAACATCTGTGTCACCTTCTTCATAGTTGGCCGAACCGCTGGATTAGGAGACAGGCACCACAATCCAACCATAGTCGTCCTCTCAAACCTATTGAAATCATTTAGAGCTTCAACATCGTGATCCACCATCACTCTTAAATTTCCTTCTTTTGCTGAATATAAAACCCAATCTGTGAGTATCATGTCCTCACCCTCTCCTTCATTTTGACTCGGATGTAGCTCCATGTGCCTTCTGCAGAATATGGTCTCCAACAACATGACCCCAAAGCTATACACATCAACCTTTGCCGTGACGGGAGCATTCTTGAGCCATTCTGGTGCCATATATCCCATTGTCCCTCTGACGTTGGTGCTGGTTCGAGTTCTGTCTTTCTTTAGCAGCTTTGCAACGCCGAAATCAGAAACTTTTGCCGTATAATTGGAGTCAAGAAGAACATTCTGTGGCTTTATGTCGCAATGGATGATTTGTGGGTCACATTCTTCATGCAAATATAGCAAGCCCCTTGCAACTTCAAGCGCAATCTTGGCTCTGTCTTCCCATCTGGGTTTATCCCCTTCCCCAAAAAGTAAACTGGAGAGCGACCCATTTTTCATCATCTCGTAAACTAGGAGACGATGATTTTGTTCATTACAGAAGCCTAGTAACCTGACAAGATTCCTGTGATGAGTCAGACCAATGACTTGAACTTCGGTCACAAACTCCTTCTCACGAATCTCATCCTGATCCTCTGCTTTTTCCAGTTGTTTCACGGCAACCTCAACCTGTTCGCCCTCCAACGTCAAAATCCCACTATACACAGTGCCAAATGCTCCTCGACCAAGTTTGTTCTTGAACCCCTTTGTTGCCTCTCTCAACTCTTGAAATGAAAACGTCTTTAGATTTATGTCCACTGGCTTTGGGTTGGGAGGTGGCTCCTTACGTATCCAACGGCGAAACTTTGGGTTATGATGAATAGCAGAAGCTGCAAAAACAAGAGCGAGCAGGGAACAAGATATGAATGATACAAGCAGAACAATCCAAGAAGGTGAGTCATTTCCATCATCTTTGCGAACCACAGGAACTTTAACTAGCGCCACCCTTTTACTGGTCGTCGGGATGCTTATTCTTCCATTAAAAAAAGAGGTGTCCTTTTCTTGAAACAATCAGTGCCAATCAAAACACCAGCCATGCAAAAACAATCACTCATCACTTCCCTCGTGCAACTAATCAAATCTGAATTAGGTATCCACTGCATATCAGCAAAATTCCAGTTGGGTATATCAGCATCTGAAATTTCTTGCACAGTGAAGTCCGAGGCAGATGAATTTGTAGCGCAAAAATCCATCTCCAAATTACGATAACAGCCTTTGGAGGGAACATAAGGATCCAAAGGTGTATACCCAGGCAAGCAGCTACAATTGATCACCTTGTTGTCAGGTGAAGTGCAAAAGCCATTTACCCCGCAAATAGCATCCACAAAGCAGGGCTCTGTTATAGCATCCCATATAGGCGTCCACTCTGTTCCCTTTTTTTTATGAAAAATCAACTGTTCGAAGTTACCATGATCGTTGATTGTCGCTCGATGGTAGTAATATTCGATTGGGTTGAGCAGCTGGCTTTGGGTTGTCATTTGGTAAATGTTTCGGGTGCCATTGACGGCGTAAAGCGTAGCTGTATTGTTGTCGAAGACGATGCTGACGCTATTGTTTTCGATTGTTCCAGTGAACCAATAAGCGCCGGAATACCTGAAAGCAGCGATAACAATGTTTCCATCAGATTGGACCTCCAACTTGTAATTCCCCGTCGAGTAGTCTAGTGTTCCATTGGCATTTGAATAAAGAATCTGACTCATGACCAAGTTTTGGCCTGGTAGAATGGTATCTGTGGGTGAAGCAAAGCTCTCCCAGATGATGTTTGAGAGTGAGTTTTTCAGGACAAAGTTTCCATTATCCAGCATTGAAGCAGAAGAAGCATTATTTGTTTGATTGTAGATTGAAACTAACGAACCATTGGCATGAAGCAGCACTAACTGGCCACTGAGTGTGAGATTGATGGTGGATCCAATCTGAGCCGGGTCATCACGATTTGCGGACCAGACCAGAGTTTTCTGGGGATTAATCTTATCGAACCAAATACCCACAAGGTAGCGACCATGGGGGAGAGGGTAGAACCCAAAAGCAAAATCAGCAGAAGGTGATGTCCAAGATTTATTAGAGCCAGCAACGATGCTTGAGCCCAGTTGGATAGAATTTGAGCTCGTCTGAGCATTAGAGCATAGAAGAAACAGGAAAAAAGGGACACAGAGCGCAAGGAGTTTAGTGGGAACATGAACATCCATTAAATCGTGGGTAAGAAAGAGAGATTGGCGAGGGAGACCAGCTAGGTGTAAAAGCTAAAAACGAAAGAAATTATATGCAGAAGCGTATATGAGGAGATGCAGTTAATTCGGACAATGGAATTGTCCAACCCTATGGTTTGATTTGATCTTTTTCTGACGATGAAGATGACATATCTGCCAGCTGGAAGATTTGAACACAAATACTACCTCCGGTCCTAATTATAAGACCCAGTTGACTAATTTGAGGAGATTAAGGAAGTAAGTTGAGTTAGTTATTTGTCCTAAATAGGTGTTGTCTTTTCTAAAATATCCTTGCTAATCAAGTGTATTGACTAAAACTATCATTGTTAGAAGGGTTACTTTAGAAAAAAAATATATAAATATAAGAGATAAAAATGAATTGGGGTCTTATATTTAAGATCAAAATAAAAGTCAAACAGGATCTTATATTAAGGATCGAAGGTAGTAATATTGAAAGTTGGTTGGGTTTAATTGGGATGGCTACTTTGCACCTTGCGTTTGGATAAGTAGCAACTTAAAATGTTACCATACAGAGTTTTGCAGGTGAGCAAGTGATAGAGTCAAAAGATGATGAATTTGTACGTGTTACTACTTCTGAAAGATTCAACGTCTTGCGTGGCCTCTAACGGATTACTGAAGCTGTCTACTACAATCATTGAATATAGTTGGGGCGCATTGCGCGTTGAATCTTTGAACAACACCTTGAATTTGATTGGCAATCGGCTTCCTAAGGAAAGTAATGCAGTCGAATTGAAAACACCAACAAGACAAGGCGGCCCGGAAAGAAGTGTTCTTCTCTGATTTAGTTTCCGTGGAGACGCCCGGCTTTGACCTATTCCTCTCCTTTCGAGTCTTATTCTTCGTGAAGATAAGAAGTGTATAAAATATTATTAATTGATAAAATGATTTTTTTAAAGCAATTTTGGTAATTGACAGTTGTAATCTTTCATAAGTTATACTCCTTTTTTATAAGATATAAATAATTGAACTGCATAGATACAGCTATGATTAAAATTGGGTAACTGCAATACATATGTTAAAAAGTACAAATTATTTTTAAAAAAATCCCTTGACTATTGCATGTAAATAATAGTTACTTGGATAATTAATTGAGTTTGACTAACTAATATTAGTACAATAATCAATGGGGACAGAAATAAAAAAATATGATAAATATTTCCGACAAATTGTTGAAGTCTCTTGTAAATAAGGATAAACGATTCCCCAAAAAATTTTCTTATAGGAAAAAATACCCAAGAAAGCCAGGTAATAAGAGCAGTATCAAGGGAAAATGACAAAAATAAAGCTGAAAATTACTAAATCTTAAAGTAACAACACTTCATTTAATGCTGATAATACTAAATTTATAAATAACAATAAATTTTTGTTAAAATTTTTTATTTAACATTTACTAATTTTTTTGGGGTCACTTTTCTCGCTATCAAATCAGTATCTCCATTTGCCCCCTTCTAAATTTTTAGACCACCAGCCCATTCTCAGCAGCGTATCGTGAGGAGCAAACCTAGACTACTTCCTTCTACTGATTGGGCCTTCACTGTTACGAAGAAAAAGGGGACACATTTTATTTAATGAAGAAAAAGTCGCCATTGCTGTAATTGAAGATTATTTGGAGCATTTCCAGGTATATAAGAAATCAATTTTTGTTTATCTTAGGGATAAGGCTCACATTCTACTAAAGAATGTATCTACCACTGTTCATAGAATTGTTTTATAAAGTTCATAGAAACATTTTTTCTGTTAACAGAAAATAAAGGGGGGGAAAATTGATGCAAGAATAAAATAAAAATAATTGCACGAAAGACGCATATCCTGTATGTATGCATCTAATCGAGTAAGAGCTGATTTAAAAGGAAAATTTAATTGTAATATTAAAAACAGCACAAGGATTCATTGCCAAAACAAGATGACTAGAGCAAACTGTTGGAGATCACCGAATATAATGCCAAGGATATGGGATCAGCGAAATATAAGAGATAGCGATAGATATGATATTTCTGTTATTATTATAATAATTGTAGAGATACAATAGGATATTCACCATATCACGCGACACCACGTCTGTATACTTGTATATATATAGATGCTCTATCAGTAAATGAACATATCTTCTCCTCTACAATCCTGATTTCTTCATGGTATCAGAGCGGAGATCCGAAAATTTGATCTAAGAGCTTAGGTGTCTGAGCCACAAAATTTCCAGTCACAAGAATCATCAGTACTCACGTTAGTCGCCATGGATGCGATGTCGCCATACTATATTCACGCCTCTGATAGTCCGGGGCATATGCACGTTGGAGAACCTCTCAATGAGAGTAACTACAATGAGTGGGTGAATGATATGAGAGATGTGCTCTTTGCCAAGAACAAAATTGGGTTTGTTGACGGAACGATCGCGAAGCCACCGGCAGACTCTACAGATCTGAATCACTGGATGCGATGTGATGCTATGGTGAAAGGGTGGTTAAAGAGCGCCATGAATAAAGAACTCAGGAGTACTGTTCGCTACTCAAAAACTGCCCAGGATATATGGGTCGAATTGAAAGAAAGATTTGGCAAGAGCAGTGCACCAAGGGCTTACGAACTTCGACGAGCTGTCTCTCACACGAGACAAGACAAACAATCTGTACCCGTGTACTTCACCAAGTTGAAGAAGTCTTGGGATGAGATCGACTCGATTACACCGTGGCCAAAATGCTCGTGTGGAGGGTGCAAGTGTGATTTACATAAGCAGCTACTAGAGATGAAAGAGAGAGAACGTCTCTATGAATTTCTCATGGGATTAGATGATGTGTATGCAACAATCAAAACTCACATCTTGAGCATGAATCCATTGCCAAAACTTGGAACTGCGTACCATCTCGTTGCTGAAGATGAACAGCAAAAACTGATCTCGGCTACACAGTCACCATCGTTGGAGGTTGCGGCATTCCAGGTTCATCATGATCGTAAGAAGGAAAAGCCAAGGTGTGCACATTGCAATAAACTTGGCCACACCCAAGAGAAGTGTTACGACTTGGTTGGGTATCCTAGTGATTGGAAGAAAACTGGCCGGGACAGGCGAGATAGACGAGGAACACCAAGGGCAGCCCAAGTCAGCGAAGGAGAAAGCCCAGTGCCTGGGCTCTCGCTTGATCAATATACGGCGCTTATGCAGCAGCTGAATTTGCAGATCAAAGCCACTAAGTCAAGTAACGACCAACCAATAGCTAATATGGCAGGTATTTTTTCGGGTAATGAGCCATGGATTATTGATACAGGGGCTTCCGTGCACATCACCAATGACGCAAGTCAACTCACAAATTTAAGGAGTTCGTATTCTCCACCTGTGCGGATACCAAATGGCCAAGGGGTCCCCGTAAAAGGCATAGGGAGCGTCGTTCTCTCACCCAAGTTGAAAATTGATGATGTTTTATATATACCTGAATTTAAATGTTGCCTTTTTTCTGTAAGCAAATTTACTAGAGAGTTCAATTGTGCAGTAACCTTCCTTGCTGATTTTTGTGTCATTCAGGACTTGAGTTCGAGGACCGTGATTGGTGTGGGTAGGTGCAAGAATGGCTTATATTTCCTCACGCCAGTGCAGCAAGGGGGGCGGCATTTACAGTAGACACTGGTGGTGTGCGAAGTTTGTGGCATTCAAGACTCGGTCATGCATCCTCAAATAAGCTGAAGCAAATTTCCTTTTGTTCCTATTTATTCAATAAAGTGACTGATCATTATTGTGATTCTTGTATTCGTGCGAAGCAGACTCGTTTGCCTTTTGGCACTAGTTCAATAAAATCTAGTTCATGTTTTGATTTAATCCATTGTGATATTTGGGGCGGTTATAAAACCCCATCTTTTTCTGGTGATCGCTACTTTTTAACGATTGTTGATGATTATAGTAGAGGAGTTTGGGTGTATCTGATGAAAACAAAGGCAGAGGTTGGGCCCATGCTACAATCATTCATTACTATGGTTGAAACTCAGTTCAATAAGAAAGTGAAACAGGTTCGTGCTGACAATGGACCAGAATTTCAATCTGGTACAATGAAGGAATTTTATGCACACCGCGGCATCGTTCTTCAAACCACATGTGTCCACACGCCACAGCAGAATGGTGTAGTTGAGCGAAAGCATCGTCATATCCTGGAAACAGCACGAGCACTACGATTTGAGGCCAAGTTACCGGTTGAGTTTTGGGGAGAGTGCGTCCTGACAGCAGTATATATTATCAACAGGCTACCAACTAAAGTTCTTAACGGCAAGACCCCCTACGAAGTTCTTTTTGCCGCACCACCTACATACAGTCATATGAAGGTTTTTGGGTGCCTAGCCTATGCGCGCCATCCTGTGTGTTCAGATAAATTGGAAGAACGAGGTCGCCCATGTGTTTTCATTGGGTATCCATCAGGAAAAAAGGGGTATCTCCTCTATGATCCCAAAACTCAAACACGTTTTGTCTCTCGTGATGTCATTTTTGTGGAGACAGATTTTCCCATGGCTTCTCCAACACCTTCACAGCCAGTCTCCACACCTCTACCTCAAGCTTTTGATGATCCTCACATTGGCCATGATGAGGTTAGGGTCACATGTGACAATGATGAACTTGTTGGAGATCATGCCTCGCAGGGTCAGCAATCGATTATATTAGCACCACCTCGACGAAGTGAGCGCATAAGAACTCAACCTCAGCACCTACAGGATTATATCACAGATATACCACCATCTACTGTCCCCCTTGCTACTGAGCTGCCTAGCACCACCCCTCCGTCATGTGCCTCGGTAAAGTACCCTATCTCACAATTTGTTTCTTACGCACAATTTTCATCTTCTCACAAAGCTTTCCTAGCGGCCATTGATGCACACGATGAGCCCAAGAGTTATTTTCAGGCTCGGCAACATGCTCATTGGCGAGAAGCCATGCAGCAAGAGATCGCTGCTCTTGAGGCTAACGGGACATGGGATTTGGTGCCCCTGCCAGCTGGTAAACATGTTATTGACTCCAAGTGGGTCTTCAAAATCAAGTATCTACCATGTGGAACCATTGATCGCTTCAAGGCTCGACTAGTGGCCCGTGGTTTCACTCAAATAGCGGGTGTCGATTTCCATGAGACATTCGCCCCCGTTGCTAAGCTTGTTACTGTTCGTTGTATCCTCGCCGTCGCCATTAAGAGACGATGGCATGTTTGTCAACTTGATGTGAATAACGCTTTTCTTCACGGCGAGCTTGATGAAGATGTCTATATGCGCATTCCTCAAGGCTTCGCGCGTGAGGGGGAGACAAGGGTATGTAAGCTCAAGAAGTCCCTCTATGGACTAAGACAAGCGTCTCGCAACTGGTATTTCAAATTCACTCAAGCTCTTCTTAAAATTGGTTACTCGCAAAGTAAGGCAGATCATTCCTTGTTCATATACCGAACGGCCACTTCATATGTCACATGCTTGATTTATGTCGATGATGTTTTACTTGCTGGTGATGATGAGAAGAAGATACAGGAAACAAAGAGATATTTAGATCGCAAGTTCAGCATCAAAGATCTAGGAAAGTTGAAATACTTTCTTGGCATCGAGGTAGCTCAATCACATAAGGGCTTTATCTTGAGCCAGAGGAAATATACGATGGATATCCTGAAAGAAACAAATATGACCGATTGTAGACCAAGCTATTTTCCCATGGAGCAACATTGCAAGCTGCAGAATAATGAAGGAGACCCAGAAATTGACGCAGGACGATATAGGAGACTAGTTGGAAAACTCCAATATTTGACAGTGACACGACCGGACATAGTCTATCCAGTGAATATTCTAAGTCAATTTACATCATCACCGAAGCACTCACACATGGTGGCAGCTGAGAGAGTCTTGCGCTACCTAAAATGCACAGCTGGGCAAGGCATCTTACTAACATCAGAAGGGTCGTTACGACTTGAGGCATACTGTGATGCGGATTGGGCTGGATGCCCATTAACTCGACGATCATGCAGTGGCTATCTTATGTCATTGGGAGGCTCGCCTATTTCATGGAGAACAAAGAAGCAGCATGTAGTGGCAAAGTCATCAGCAGAGGCAGAGTACAGGGCAATGGCTTGTGCAGTGAGTGAAGTGATATGGCTTCGCTGGTTACTTAAAGAATTACGAGAGCCACAGTTAAAGGCGACTCCTCTCTATTGTGACAACCAAGCAGCATTACATATTGCCATGAACCCAGTATTTCATGAACGCACCAAACATGTGGAAATGGATTGCTATTTTGTAAGAGAAAGATATCAATCAGGAGAAATAATACCGCAGAAGATTTGGACAAAGGATCAGCTAGCAGATATGTTCACAAAAGCTCTTGGAAAGGATAGACTCAAGGGACTGCTAGACAAGTTGGGCATCGTAAATCCACATGCACCAACTTGAGGGGGAGTGTTGGAGATCACCGAATATAATGCCAAGGATATGGGATCAGCGAAATATAAGAGATAGCGATAGATATGATATTTCTGTTATTATTATAATAATTGTAGAGATACAATAGGATATTCACCATATCACGCGACACCACGTCTGTATACTTGTATATATATAGATGCTCTATCAGTAAATGAACATATCTTCTCCTCTACAATCCTGATTTCTTCACAAACTTCTCAATAAAATTGATAAGCCATCAAAATTTTTAAATGTTCATCGTTACTAGAAGAATAACGGTAAACAAGACTAGTGGATATCCCTGGCGTCAGTAAAGAAGAAAAAGAAATGCTACGGGCAAAGAAATAGAATCTTAAATCTCGAAACTTCTCATTAATTGAGTAAGTGGTTTGTCTAAAATTACAACATTACGTGAAATATGCAAAAACATAAATTTAGGCAAGCGAATTTAATCAAAAAGTTGTTCCCCCGAAAAAGAGGAAGTTAAAATCTTTGGGCATCAACGAGAGGAGGAATACCAACGTCTGTTATGCCTTCCAGCATCTGTGTCGCCTTCTTCATAGATGGTCGCACCGTTGGGTTCAGAGACAGGCACCATAATCCGACCATAGTCGTCCTCTCAAATCTATCGAAATCATTTGAAACTTCAAGATCACGATCCACCATCACTCTCAAGTTCCCTTATTTTATCCAGTATAGAACCCAATCTATTAGTATCATGTCGTCACCCTCTCCTTCGCCTTCAATTTGACGCAGCTCTATGTGCCTTCTGCAAAATATGTTCTCCAGTAACATGACCCAAAAGCTAGACACATCAACCTTTGTATCTGCTGCCATATATCCTGTTGTCCCTCTAACGTTGGTGCTGGTTCGAGTTCTGTCTTGCTTTAGCAGCTTTACAACGCCAAAATCAGAAACTTTTGCCGTATAATTGGTGTCAAGAAGAACATTCTGTGGCTTTATGTCGCAATGGATGGTTTGCGAGTCACATTCTTCATGCAAATATAGCAAGCCCCTTGCAACTTCAAGCGCAATCTTGGCTCTGTCTTCCCATCTGGGTTTATCCCCTTCCCCAAAAAGTAAACTGGAGAGCGACCCTTTTTTCATCATCTCATAAGCTAGGAGACGATGATTTTGTTCATTACAGAAGCCTAATAACCTGACAAGATTCCTGTGATGAGTCAGACCAATGACTTGAACTTCGGTCACAAACTCCTTCTCACGAATCTCATCCTGATCCTCTGCTTTTTCCAGTTGTTTCACGGCAACCTCAACCTGTTCGCCCTCCATCGTCAAAATCCCACTATACACAGTGCCAAATACTCCTTGACCAACTTTGTTCTTGAACCCCTTTGTTGCCTCTCTCAACTCTTGAAATGAAAACGTCTTTAGATTTATGTCCACTGGCTTTGGGTTGGGAGGTGGCTCCTTACGTATCCAACGACGAAACTTTAGGTTATGATGAATAGCAGAAGCTGCAAACACAAGAGAGAGCAGGGAACAAGACAAGAATGAAACGAGCAGAACAACCAAGAAGGTGAGTCCTTTCCACGGTCTTTGTGAGCCAGAGGAACTTTAACCAACGCAACTCTATTCCTAGAGGAAGGGATGCTTACTCTTCCACTCAAAAGAGGTGTCCTCTTCTTAATACAATCAGTGCCACTTATAACACCGGCCATGCAGAAACAATCATTCATCACTTCACTCGTGCAACTATTCAAATCAGAATTTGGTATCGATTGCATATCAGCATATTCATCGTTGGGAATATCAGCATCTGAAATTGCTTGCACAGTGAAGTCTGAGGTAGATAAATTTGTAGCGCAGAAATCCATCACCAAGCTGGGATAACAGCCTTTGGAGGGGACATAAGGATCAAAAGGTGTATACCCAGGCAAGCAGCCACAATTGACCACATTATTGCTAGGCGAAGTGCAAAAGCCGTTCACTCCACAAATGGCAACCACTGTGCAGGGCTCTGTTATGGCACTCCATATAGGCGTCCACTCTTTTCCGTTTTCTTTATGGACAATCAACCGCTGGAAGTTACCATGATCGTTAATTGTTGCTCGATGGTAGTAATCTTCAATGGGGTTAGGCAGTTGGTTTTGGGTTGTCATTTGGTATATATTTTGGGTGCCATTCAC